CATTTGAAATTACAAGAGGCTGCACAACAGTCTTGTGTTTAGACATTCTCCCTGGATTCTATGGCAAATCTTTTGGCTACGTATATCATTAGACAGCTTGTTCCTTCCTATAACCTACCTATTGAATTAGATCAAATATCTGAATGGAAAATGATCTTTAACTATGGCTCAAGAAAGCATTCCAACAACATACGGTATACACATTTGTACATACAAATAAGGGTCATAGAGTTTCCCCAAGGGAAGGTGTCAGGCATTAACAGGGTCACAAACACAAAACAAATTCAATATAGCATCTCCCTACCCCCCACTGGGGTTCTGACCGTAAGACCAATTGCTGCTCTTCCCTTTTCCCTCTCATCAATGGGAAGGGCAGGGGTGAAGGCACAGAAACAATTAAGGGGGATTCCACACTCATCCATACCCCAATATTATTTCCTTTTATCCAGTCATCAGATGAAAAGTGCTTAGAGCATTAATGCAGGACAGGACAGAGCTAATCACAGACTATCAATCTCATTTTGTCTTTTACTAGCATCATATCATTCTGATCCATTTTTCATCTTTACTTCTGCCACTCTGTAAAATGAACTGTACTCTACAATGCCCATTCTTCTAACCATGATAGCTTCGTAAAATGCTGGAAATGGATTGACTTTATGATATAGATGTTTGCCAAGCAAACATGCATAATTAGACAAGGAAAAAAAAACCATCCCAGAAAACACCTACGAGCTTCAACTGGCTTCAGCACAATGAAATAATAAGCCGTTAGCATTTAAGCAGTTATTTTTGGCTTTTTTTCCTAAATAAAATTGAAGAGGCCACCATTGCTAGCCATTATGTTTAGCGAAGAGGCTGCTAAAAGCAGACCATGATGTAGCTCATGTCCTGTTTCATCTCGACATTATACAGCCATGAACAGGAAGAGCTACATTCAGTAAAGGCAAAAACACACTGGCAAGGATGCTGCAATCAACAAAGAGGCCAAAACAATTACTACGGTAGATATTATTTGGTCTACGAAAAAAAAATCAAGTCCAAGAAAAATTAAAGGGATACAGCATCCTTGTAAATTAAAAACAACAAGAATGTAAATCTGTGCCGAATAAAATCATTGTCAGCACTTAACAATGCTGAAGTGGTTACCTTTAACAGTATAATTTTTAAAAGGCTTTTAAAAGACCAATTGAATCCTATAATCACCACTCTCATATCAAAGCACTCCTTTAAAAAAAATACTATCATAATTACAAAGACATGAAAGCGTATTTAACACACTGAAATCTGCAGGATCCTCCCACTGAAAGTCAGGTCAGATAAAGTGTCAAAATGGCTACAAAAGTGCTTCAGGTAAGTAATAATAACCACGTGCCATCAAGTCAATTCTAACTTATGGCAACTCTTTTCAGGGTTTTCCAAACAGAGAATATTCAGAACTGGTTTCCCATTCCCTTCTTCTGGGGTGCTCCGGGATTGTTCTGTCAGATCCTGATCTGAATAACTGACAGGGTCTCCCAAAGCCGCACAAGCTGGCTCTTTTCCTGGAAGGTCCAGTGAGGAATCAAACTCACAACCTCCGGCTCTGCAGCCAGATAACTAAACCACTATTAGATTACAGTAATGTTATGTAAATGTAGGAATCTTTTTTTAATGTCAAACAAGGAAAATTGCACATACACAGGGCACAGTGTACCATCACTTAAAATACCTCTGCTTGTGAAAATTCTCTTATCCTACCAATGCAATATCTAAGATGAAGAAGGTATATGGATATTTGGGAATATTTCAGCCATTCCACTCTTCTTTCTTTGGATGAAAACTTTCAAGGTCTGACAGTTCTAGTGAACATTCTTCATTTCCAGTCTCCTTACAAAATAATCTAAGCATTCTAAATTATATCAATATATAAACTTCTTCTGGGAACAAGCCTCCATGGTTTCCATATTGGGGTTTTCCAATATCCATGGTGGTGAGTACAGAAACACGCTTCCCACTCCAAGGTCTTCAAAGGTAGTTCTCAGAATAGTTTAGCTGTCACCTTCAGAGCAGAAAATTTCAAACTGTGGTCCACAACCTCTGCACGGGTGGTTAGTAAAAAGCTTACTCATGACTACATTGCCAAACCAGACCAGAGGCTAAGCTGACAAAAGATTAAGCCATGATTCATGGCAAAATAAATAAAATAAAATACAAATTAAAAAAGAAACAAACACCAGGCACATCCACTGTGATGCACAGCCAAACTGCAGTTCTTCAACTATGACTTGTGCATATGCTTTGATCTCTAGAAGAACAGAAACAAAAAGGAAGTGGTCCACCCCAGTGATGTTCAAGTGGTCTGGTGAGAAGGCTTCAAGAACTGTTGCATGAGAGAAAGAGGCCACAATTTGCGGAGTGACAGGAGACAGTGCTTTGGTGTTTCTAAAATTTGGAAACAGAAGAGTCTCTAAAATGAAATTATATTTTATTACTCTTTATTTAACAAAAAGAAAAGAAAGGGGCAGTGTGTTAATTTGTACAACATAACAATGTTCCAAAAGCCAAATGAAGTTGAATCAAAAATGGTACTAACTCAATACATATTATAGGCGTTTAAAAGTTAAAATGCAAAGCTTTGCCTAGATACCACGTTCATCAGAATACCTGTAAAGAGTGTAACACCTATCAGCTCAATAGAACATTTCTTTTTGCCACTGCTCAGATTTTAAAAACAACACTGAATGCACTGAAGACTATTCATCATGTGCCATCAAGTTAATTCAACCTTATGACAATCCTTTTCAGGTTTTTCTAGGCACAGAGTACTCAGAAGTGGTTTCCCATTTCATTCTTCTGGGAGCATCCTGGGACTGTGCAGCTTGCCCAAGGCCACAAAGGCTGACTCTTCTTCCAGGAGACATACTGGGAGAATCAAATGTCCACCCTCTGGTGCTACAGCCAGACAACCAATTCACTGAGCTATCAAGCCAGCTGAAGAGTATCAGCACGTTCATTTTAACACACCATCAGTAAACATGCACAATATCTTTCTCCTTGTCAGCTGGAGAAGCTTACACTGGCCCTTTAAACAGCACAGATTGCATCCAACTTATGGCAATCCTAAATAGGGTTTTCAAGGTATGTGAGATATTAAGGAATGGATATATCATTGGCCCCGTGATTTTCCACAGTCAAACGGACTTAACAACCACCACCATGTTAGTATAGCAGAGCTGGAAGGGACCCTATGGATCATCAAGTCCAGTCCCTGCCAAGAGGCACAGTAGGGAATCAAACTCCCAGCCTCTGGCTTCGCAGCCAGAGGCCTAAATCACACTCCTTTGTCTCAGTCCAACATTCTGTTCACTATAACACATTGGCTCTTACAAACATAACAAAATTTACCCCTTTGAAATTAGGGCGCTTTTAAAAATCAAACAATCTTTAAATCTTTAATCTTCAGTTTTGTTGCTTTCTTGGTCTATGAAACAAACAGCTTTTTTTAGAAAAGGAAACTGGAATGGGACACAGTACCACAATATTTTCCACTTCATCTCAACAGCAATGACCGAGTCAGTCTTACCTCTCCACAGACCCTAAAATATTGACATTTTTTTAAAAAAAGAATTTATCAATTAAAGAAATTAACATCCCCTCAATGAAAAAATAAACAAGACAGTATCTCATGGAGTACTCTGCTCTAGTAAAATTATTCTGGTTTTGTATTTGCGAAGGCTTTCACGGCCAGGATCTAATGGTTGTTGTGGGTTTTTCAGGCTCTTTGGCCGTGTTCTGAAGGTTGTTCTTCCTAACGTTTCACCAGTCTCTGTGGCCGGCATCTTCAGAGGACAGCACTCTGTGCTCTGGTTTTCTTTTTACTTAGAAAACAGCGAAGAGTTTTTACTTAGAAAACAGTGAAGAGTTAAAATGAGATGGATGCAAGGAAAACAATATATTGGTATATTTAGTTTCTACCAGTGTTTCACAGCTGATTAGGGCAATCTCTCTTCATCTTTCTAATTAATGTTTAGAGCCAACAAGATTCCACAAGATTCTGAAGAGTAAACAGGTTCCTAAGTAATTACAAATAAAGAAAGCATTTACATTAAGATGTACACTAAGAATACTAGTGCACAGCCCTTGGTATGAGTACATTTGAAGCACAGCTGCACTCACAGCCCTTGAGAAGGGGGGTATGTCTCTGAGTAGATCAGAGGAAAGTAACACTGCCTGGCACCAATCAACTCAATCTCCAGCACTTAGCCAAAGCAGATGTAGCCTTTCCGATGCAGTGAGAGGCAAATATTGTACATGTTGCTTACTTATTTACAAATATTTACAAAACACTTATACCTAAAGATTTTAGAGCTGTACACCACAACAAAACACACTGTATAAAATACATAAGGAAAGAGACAACGTTCACAATAGCCATAAAGAGGGTGGAAAACCTTCGACAACTGAGATAGTTTTCAACATGGCCCTAAAAATAAGAATTGTAAAAGCACAATGGAAGATATCAGAGGGAAGGATATTCCACATAAATGCTGAGGGGACCCGAGGCCCACCAAGAAAGCCCTTGTAGAGGGTCTCAGGAATTACATACATGTGAGGAGCAGATACTGTATCCCAGTGCAGGGTTCATAATCAGGGAGCACCATCCTTTTTTAAAGTTCTCATGTGCCGCCTCCTGCCACCATAATATATATTACATTACATACGGTCCTTGGAAACAAGAAATATCCTCCATTATAAGCTAAGAGAGGGTCTCCAGGCTTTTAAATTACAAGAAGCACTCACAGGTCAATGGTATACCATCATCCCACTCACTACGGATCCTGCAGATACAATTAGAGTACAATTAGGCCCAATGGTTCTTTGGGATAGGCCAACATCTGCAAACATACTCCATCTATTGACCAGGTTTGCTGACCCCGAAGCTGGTATTTGAAGTCCTTAAATACCAGTTCTTTTTTTATCTGTTTCAGGGGAAAGTGACAGTTCGTGGGATTACTTACTGCAGGTATGGTGGACATCCTTTTCTGTCTCCACTGCTGTGCAGAAGCAGGAAAGTCTTCCTTTTATTCTGAGAGAGGCAGGGAGGGCATGGGATATTGAGAGGGCAAGAGACAAGACGGGCATCCAAGAGGGGCACAGGCATCCCTCTCCCCCACTGGAGGCCTGGCATCCTACAGTTCCTGCTTTATAGCCACCTGCCATCCCAAGCGGCAATTGAACCACTGCACTTAAAAAGGCACGTGTGCGCGCCTGTATGTGGACGTTGCACACACGCACACACTGGGCACAATCACTTCATGCTCAGACACAGAGATACACGCGAATAAAATTCACGTATAAATACATCCACAAATACATGGTCTCCATTTAGTTACAAACGAGGACAGTAACCAGGGTGGGGAAAACCTGGCCAGCCCGGGGCTATTAAGCCGCCACCTTTCCTTGCCTTGCCCCGGGGATGTTTGCTTCCCCCCCCCATCATCATCATCATCATCATCATCACCACAAGGCCCGGGGGTGTAACTGCACCCATTGCATCCACGAGGCTGGCGCGCACTTCCGTCCAATGCAGGCCCAGGGAGGGAGGGAAGGAGGGAGGGAGACTGGCGGGGCGGAGGTGGTGCT